AAAAAATATTGTTTTCAGTTTGAGTTGAATATCCAATCTCAATATGAGAAGCTATCACGAGGTTGACGTTAGATCATTGCATGTGACTGAGCCTTCAGCAATTACCTTTGTGTTGGACCCCATTAAGTAAACTAATTAAACATATCTATGTGTTTGCCACTGCAAACCAAAAATTGAACAAAAATACATTTATATTGTTCTTTTTTTTAGGTTCATGTCCACTAAATTTCATGTTGTGATTTTTCCTGGTTTATGCATACTATTTTTTGTTTTTACAGTCCTTTGTGTTATTTACATAGAATACACCATCATAGTAAAAAAAGATTGGTAACCTATATGGGGTTAATGAGGTGGTACGAACATAGGGCTGCTATCTTCGTGACACGCAACATGTATAATACAACATTCATTAATAACATCATGGTCCTTGCATCCTAGCTTAGTTACTTTTGATGTTTCTTCAGGTCTGATTCTTTGGGTCAGAATCAATGTCTTGATTTTTGATGACCAAGCCTCTTTGTGATAAAATCCCTAGCGGTTTGTGTAACAAATGAAGCCTTCAGTTTAATTCGGTCTGAAAAAATGGTTGTTTTATGTAATAAAATTCCACTTTTCAAAGTGCCTTATTCATCTATCCTAGCTTAATTGCAATATAAGACAATCCAATAAGTTGTCCATCATGTTACATATGCAACTATTTGGGGTACACCTTTAGTTAGCTTTATTCTGTCACACGGAAGCAGGGCAGGCAGGGACAACAGATAGATACCTTGCCCAATAGTGCTTTTTGAGGTTTTCTTGAATACGAGAAAGAAACACTAATACATCAAAGTTAAAAGAAATATAAAAGGAAAAACTCAATGCTATGCTTTAATATAACCAACCGACCCACACCAATGATTCTTGAACGCTCCCAGCAAAAAAAATTGATGTCCAGACTGGCAACCAATCAAACAGTTGGAAAAGTAACACATGAGGATTTCATTTACAAACGTATGTAATTTCAACATGAAGTATATCGACAGAGCTCTGTATCATTTTCATTACCGGCACAAACCCAGCGGGCTGTCGAAAGGATGCTATGAATTACCAAAGAATCAATAAATTAATCATGCAATATCAATATGTATTCAATTTATCCTACAATGTACCAACTCTTTTCATTCAATAAAGCTTTTCTTCATGAAAGATTTCAGCATTGATACCAACATGATTTTTATACATACACCATAACATAAAAAGTAAAGTGAAGAAACAAAAATAGAACAATTAATAGGATACTTAATGAATAACCTTTAATACCACCGTATATAGAATTTCTCACACAAGTATCAATAGGCGCGGCGTGACGCCGCGCGGGCATAGCTAGTAGCAAGCGATGATGGCATGATTTTGAACTCTAAGGATAATCAATTTTACAGAGCTTTAAAAATCCTGAAAATATGCAGGAATTATTTTGCATTGGAAAGCTTCCGGGGGTCACCGAACCTGGCTCGGAGTGGCTCACAGCCCCACACGCCACCACCACACAACCACCCTGGTACTCTGAATATCGAGAAGTTCTTCTGTTTCCGCCCCGCACCTCTCTGTTCCATGACGATCCAATTTGGAGGGATTTTTTGGCACTCTAACGGAGAGTAAAATTGTCACGCTGGCCATTTCCATTAACTTGAAGGCCGTCATGATCGCCTGTGAGTAGTTTTTCTTGGACTATGGATCCATAGAAGTAGTTAGTTGATTTTCTCTTCTATGTTTTTTTAAAACCCCTCCCATATATTAATTAATTTAAAACATTCATACAATCATCCGTTACAACTTTAGCCATGCAGGACGAAAAACTATTAAGAAGCATACCAATAGACTTATTATCAAAACTGAACTTTGCAATTTCGCGAGCCACCCTATTGGCCCTTCTACTAATCTTGGATATCTTGCAATTTATCATCATCTTGGAAATACTCAAAGCTTCCATCTTTAGATCAACTAGAGGAGATCTGTCTAGAAAATCATTTCCAAGAAAGGAGGCCACAAAAGAACAATTGGTTTCTAAAATGATAGGTTTGTGGAGAGTGATGCCGCTGTAGGCTTTAAGCTCCGCTTCCTCCATGCTATTGGACACCCCAATATAATCCCACGACGAAACGATAACTTCTTCAATATGGTTCCTGGCCACCACACGCACATTCACTGCACTCATGGCCTCCACAAGACTTGCATCAACATTAATCTTAATGAACTCCATAGTAGGAGGCTGCCAAGTCACAAGATTCTCTTGCACATCATTAGTATAAATTAAAACCTCTACCCTTTCCTCACCCTTGTTGCTAACCTCCATCTTCATATTGGAGTGACATGACGAAAAAGACTCCCAATAGTTTTGAATAAAACTCACATAGGCGGAGATAGTTTCTCTCCCATGTTTCTAAATGCAAATATCACATGAGCTGCCCAATATGATTGTGATCCATCTGATATATTTTATTGGTGTGTTTGTTGTGGAGTTAAATGCACAGAACCATCGTACTCATGTCACCATTACCAGAAAACCACCACTTTACAATTCGTTGCATTTTGCACCGTGCCGAAAAATTGACAGTGGTAAAAAACACCGGCGCTAAATAATAAGGGCTTTGATGACGTCAGTAATTGGTCAGCCCCAAACATCAGGCTGAGTTGGTTAAAGAAGATGCCACATAGATAAAAAAAAACTGCTATGTTGTCTTCTTCTTCGTCCTGCTCTTTCTCCTTGGCATTTCATCAAATACCCCATGTGCAGAGCGGCGCCATGAGGAGAGATGGAGGTGGCGGCCATGGGACCCTCAAACCCCATCGCGTCGGTGTCAAACAGGAACCATCAGTTGGAACGCTCGCCATCCTCGCCACTGCGCGACACGCGACAAGCTCAATGAAAGACAACACCACCCGCCGGTTGTGGAGCACTCTGCGCTTTGCGCTACCGTACCTAGCCAAGCCAGACGCCTTCCGCACGTAGGGGAAGCGGTGACCATGATGGAGACACACTGGACGGAGAGGGGGAGCGACAGACCTTGCGGCGGCTCGTCGGTGACGCACTGGACGGAGCCGCCGCGTGGTGGGAGCCTGCTTGCCACGTCCAACGCAGGCGCGCTTGCGGCCGAGGCCAGCGTCCTGGAGTCCTGGCCGATGCGAGGTGGGGAAGCATCAACTTACTGCTGCGCGGAGAGGAACGAGCCCGGTGCGGAGCCATACATGCCCCTGTGGTCCCCAGCGCGCTTGGGATGGAGGAGACCAGAGGTTGAGATTAACGCCTCCGTGCCGGTCATGCGGCCATCAGCGTCCAGGTTTGGCCCCAAGAGTCCCATCCGTCGGCCGAGGGCGGCGCGGCCACGGACAGGAACGATGACGGCGCCACGTTCTCCACTCGTTAGTGCGAGACTGGGGCAAGCAGCCGACCCCTCCTTTGCGTGACGAGGGCGTGGATCCAGAACCACACTAACGGCTGTGGCGAATCTGGCCCTCGCCTGACCTGCTAGTCCTCGACCAGGGAGAGGAGCCGGAAGGGGAGACTTTCATGAAGGAGGAAGAATAAGAGAGTGTTTATGTGGAAGTTTTTTTTAAGTCGCCGGCGGGGGCGGGTGGGTGGGAATTGGGAGATAATTTCGCAGAAAAATGAGAACGGAGGAGGAAGAAGAGAGTGTTTATGTGAAAGTTTTTTTAACCACACGATGTTTTTCCCCTGCCAACTCAGCCTCATGAGTCGGTCCGGCCGACTAGTGACGTCATCAAAGCACCTAGCATCTACTCACGGTGGCCTCATCCACGAGCGCGCTTGCCACGTTCAACATATGGTTGCCACTCTCCAACACAGTACCGTCAGTGTTGTTTGCCACTAGGGATAAAAATATGGTTGCAGTTTTCTTTTGAACGCAGTGTGAAGATAATAATATATCATCTACTTCATGTCATTGCACTTATTGTAATACTCTGTTTTTACTTAATACTTTAAGATGCATGCTGGATATCTATCTTGTATGGAGCATTAGCTATAGATGCAGTTGTGTTAAAAAAACTATAGAAGCAGTTGGATAACAGGATATTGGGACATGATGCTCATATGTTGATTATGCTATGGATAGTCATCGATATAAAAACTGTAATTTAAATGATGCGTAACCGTAATTTGTTCACCGCACCATGGATCCTGGTCCATCTTCCTCTTATATTCTTTCAACCTAGATCAAACGCTCTTATCGATTCCTTACTTTTACTTTTTTTTGTTGCAACCAAATCTTCCATACACTTGTGTTTTCAATCCTTGTAATTAGCAAGCTAGTGAGACTGGCAACCTCGCTAGTCCTGTCGGGGGCAAAGGTAGTTTTGTATTCTGTCGTGGGCAAAGGTAGTTTTGTATTCTGTCGGGGGCAAAGGTAGTTTTGTATTCTGTGTGCAGGTACTGATCATTGGCTAAACAATTTACAAAAAGGTTAGCTCTAGGTCTAAGAACATACAACTGATTGCTACACATTAACTAAATTCATATTTTTAAAATTTACAATCACGTAAGTATAGCATTAGAAATGGCTCCACTGAGTAATAGGAATTTCTTGCTCGACATGAAATACAATTTGGGTCTTTCTCACTCCTGCTTTAATGTTTGAGTTTTATCCAACTTTCACTTTTTAAAGTAGTTCATTTTATTGATTCTATCGGCCATCTCTTTAATTTCCGTTTCAAATTTTCTGCCGTATGCATTTCAGCTTCGAAGCAACAATTGCCTAATACTAGCTGGACATCACGCGTGATTAAATTAATAAACTCACTTGGGAACTGAAGTACACTATATGAATAAGCAAATCACATAACATAGCGAATAACAAAGCACCCTAATTAAAATGGTTTCGACTTTCTGTAGGCCGAGCATTACAATCCTAGAGGAGATAAAGCAAAAGCAACCATGCACACTTCTGAACAGTCATAAGATCATGTTGCCTTTCTCATGAACATTATATGAATGGTGAGGATCAGTCTTTCTTGACGAAATCCTGCAGCTTGGTCAGCATCAGCAGATCCTTGGACTGGACCTTGCTGCTCAAGTACACACGCAACAAGTTTGTCGTCGTTGGCGTGACCCCGCGCATGTCCAGATACTTCACGAATGACTTCTGCAGGTTCTCATCGAGCTTACTGCATGAGATCAACGTACGGAGAGTAGTTAATTAATAAGAGCATCATCGATTAGTAATTAAAGACAACCTTCAACAAGACAAGACACCAAAAAGTGTTGCCAATTAATCCATCTAGGAAAATTAGTCTTAATATTCTTACTCGAAATCGTAATATGTGGCCTGAACATCATCTTTATCTGTCCGCGACAACATGCACATGGAATGGATGGTGATATTGTCGGGATATGCCAAGCAGGTGAACGCAAGCTTTGAGCCATCGCCCTTGGAGATGGTGACCTCTAGGTTGATGCTGGATCTTAATTTGTTCTTCTGGCCACCGTCTTCTTCTAGATTCTCGTTCGAGGACGCCGAAGGCGATTCTACATCCTCATGTGAGGTGCATGAGGAGTTGTTCTCGTCGTCGTCGTCGTCCAAGCAGGGCTTTGATGCCACAACCTCAATCTTCTCGCCCTTTAAAGTTCTTGTAAGTGTAATGCTGGAACGACACTTATTTTCAGATATTTCAAAGGGAAAGTAATCCCCAGTCTCCTCTATCTGTTTAAGATATAAGATATGAAAAAAATTGAGGGCAAATGGGAAAACAACTCGGATTCTAATGCAGGATTAAAGGCATGAGCAGAAACTCAGATTCTCAAAAGCAGGATTAAAGGCATGTGATGCACAAAACTTGATCAATCTGATCGAGGTGACAAAGATCAGAACAGCCCCAATCTATCCCAAGTTACCAACCATCACCATGCATGGGATCGCAGTTAGCACAGGCAGAGGCCCGCTCGGTGGATTTGAAACTGAATAAAGAGATCGATCTGCGTGCGTACCTTAGCGAGGAGACACTGGAGCTCGGTGGGGGCCTGGCCGTCGTTGTTGCGGGACTTGATCGCGGAGTCGATGGCGCCGAGGAGCTCAAGGTCGAACATGGTGGCGCTCAGGGATTCGGTCTCGGTTAAGAAGGCACGGATGGGGCCCAACACGGTACGGGCGGACTCCTCGGTCACGGTGCTCTGACGGTAAGAGTCCAGTGCGGCGATGAGGGAGGCGCCGGAGGACTCAAAGGAGGAGACTGCAGCGTCGAGGGAGGAGGACGAGCTCCACCTGCTCGCCATCGCCGACGAGGACGTGGGGCGGAGAAGCGTGGAGGCCCGACGGAGGCTGGGTAGGGAGGAGGCCCGGCGGGCCGCGGCGAGGAGGGCCATGGCACCGGGAAAGAGGGTTTTTCTTCCAGAATTTAGGAGGTTTTAGCGAGGAGGGTTTTGGTTGTCTGAGAAAACAGGAGCCCACCGGTCAGGAAGGGCTTAAACCTGGACGATGTGCTTGCTGCAAAAGAAAACGAATTTGAACAAGTTTTCCCTATACCGTTCGCAGGCTCTTGCAGTTAATATGATGATGTTTTCCCTATACCGTCCTGGAACAAGTTTTCGAAAATGAAACTACTCTTTTTTTGTGTGAAAAATATTTATAGATCTATTACAAAAGTTCATCAAAAATATAAAGCACGTCAAACATGATAAAATTCACATCAAGGTACCTAGACCACCGAATGACCACTACCGCCGCCAAAATGAGCTAGCCGCCGACACACCATTGTCTCCACTCCCATGCCGCAGCTAGCTTGACCTTGTCGATCACAGCCGGGAAGTCTTCGTGCAAATGCCCCTAAGGACCACCACCCTCGAGCCTTAGTCGTCACCGATCAACCCGTGAATAGATATCAAGAAACAGACACCAAATCTCGACGTCGCGCATGCACGACAAAAAACCCTAACCTTGTCACCTCAAGGAAACAGCAGGAATCTAATCTAGAGCGTCATCTAGATGGACGGACTCAAGGAGGATCGGAGACTAAGAAGTCTGACTTTGATGGCTTTATTGATCGGTTAAACATAGTAGATCAGATTAAACAAAATTAAATGATGATGAACACCAAATATCTGCAATAAATTGGAAGTTACATCAGTCTTTTGAAAAAAGAAAATCTGCTTTCGTTAAGGTACTGACCGATGACCACAGACTCCACCGGTTGCAACATCCCCGAGTGCGTAGGTTGCTTGGGTTGTAGCAATCAAATTCGCCAGTTCCAGCATGCCAACACCATGGTTCCAAACGATAGTTGGTTGTAGCTTTGGTTTCCTCGTCGGTTCCAACTTCTCTGTGCACTCGTTCTAGCACCCTAACACCGTGGTTCTAACATCTCGCGCAGGTGGTTGCAGCTTTGCTCCTCCGTCAAAGCTTTGGCTATTGTGGTTCCAGCTTCTCTACACACTGGTTTCAGCGCCCCCACACCATGGTTCTTCCAGCTATGACTATAGCTGGTCAACACAAAACCTCCCGCTCATCGCCGCTTGCAACAACTTACTCCGCTGGTCGCCACGCCGACGAACGCCGGTTCCAACATACATCAACAATGGTTGCAGCTCCTTCACTTGGAGATTCTAGTACGGCGGCCCCCATCCCCCTGGGTTGCAGCTCCTGATCGGTAATAGATTCCAGCATGACCAGTTGCCGCTTCTAGCACGAGCGGCCACCGCTTGCAATTTTTTTAGTAGTCAGTTCCAGCACGGCCGCATGGCCTACACGCTCATGGGTCATGGCGCCACCGTGGCTAGCTGGAAATCAGCCATTGCCTATGCTCTAAGCTACAGGGTGTTTGCTTGCATGGCGAGCCATAGTGCAACCGCTATTTGAGAGCTCATTGCTGGTCATTTGCTGCGAGAGGGAGGGGGAAAAGATGAGCGGCGGGGGAAACATCAAATCAAGCGATCTGGCATGGCAAGGGCGTCGCGCGGTAGGGTATTTGGGTGCTCCTCACTGGTTATTAGA